TCTCCCGTTGCGGAGCACAGGCTCCGGACGCGCAGGCTCAGCGGCCATGGCTCACGGGCCCAGCCGCTCCGCGGCATGTGGGATCTTCCCAGACCGGGGCACGAACCCGTGTCCCCTGCGTCGACAGGCGGACTCTCAACCACTGCACCACCAGGGAAGCCCCTAAACATAACTTTTGTTTGCGCTGAGATACCAGAACGTTCATGTGACTGGCTTCATTGTAGTGGTTTGGGAGTAAACCTGGAGTACCTCTGAGGTTCACCAGTAGTTTGAGCTCAGAAAATATATCTGCTGCGAAACTGTGTGGGAGTGGAGATCTTCTCGTTTTAATTTTTGTGGCACGGGAAGGAGATGATAGAACAGCCTCTGATATTATCTGTGACTCACGTTCACTGTCGTCAAGATGACTCTACTGCAGTCTCGGTATCTCATACAAGCTCTGTTTGCCTTATAATTTTAGGTTGAATTCATTGAAAAACATTCTCAAATCTGAAAAAAAAAAAAAAAAACCCTCATATTCAATGTTTGATGATAGTGGTTGAGTAGAGGTTTTTCTCAAACAGAAAATTTCAGTCTAGGTCGTGAGTTTTTTAAAAAAACTGCAGTAAAACTTTCCCCTTTCAAGCTGTTAAACTGTTGTGTAGTAGGTCAAGTCGGGATGTTTCGCTTCTATTTCTGACAAAAATCCCTGGAACGGGTGATGGCAAAGTCCAGGAGGGCAGAGGAAGTTCTCAGCCGGTGCTGCTGCCTCATGTGTTCTGCAGAGCACCTGCCAGTGAAGGGTATGGTGCGCACCCTTAAACACCCACCCTGGGCTGCCCTGGTGGCGCAGCGGTTGGGAGTCCGCCTGCCGATGCAGCGGACGCAGGTTCGTGCCCCGGTCCAGGAGGATCCCACATGCCGCGGAGCGGCTGGGCCCGTGAGCCATGGCCGCTGAGCCTGCGTGTCCGGAGCCTGTGCTCCGCAGCAGGAGAGGCCACAACAGTGAGAGGCCCGCGTACCGCAAAAAACAACAACAACAAAAAAAAACACCCCCCCTGTGCGGGCCTTGTGGGTTCCCAGCTGAGCTTCTGACATGCGTGTTTTAACAGGATCAGTTGTTAACACATCTTAGCAGATTCCACTTCAGGTTGGACTGAATTAGGTGTTTTCTCAGCTTCTTTGGCAGTAATTTCAGCTGTAGTTGCTCCACAGAGATGATTCATAGAGGCCAATTCCTCAGTCACTTCAAACTCAGTGTTGACTGCTTGAGTGGAGTAGCAGCTGCAGAGCGGCGTCCGGAGCCCGTGGCCGTCAGGAGCCCAGGGACCCTCTGATCCGTGGCTGCTGTCGCTGCTCTCACTGTCCTTGACTCTTCAAGACTGTCCGTGCCAAAATGCTGGTAGTCTCACGCAGGTTTGTTTTCTCTGGACGCATAACTTTAGCTGCTGCAGTCAACACAATTTAATAAACTCATCATTGGTGAACAGCATTCCTTGCTTGGCTAACAAATGAGCCACTTGGGAGCTTACTTGGTGTAAGGGTCCTTTTCATTTTCATTTTGTGAAGTAATTCTGCTGCGATGAGATTTCCATTTTGAACTCTTGACTGTTGTGCACGTTGGGACATTGTAGTGCTTCCAGCAGGGCTGTGTGTCCTACCGACCCAGCAGCAAAGAGCCCGCATGCCACCACACCTGAAAGGCATAAATAACAGTACGTGCCCACTCTCTTCATGGTGTGGCATTGTGGGTAGGCAGGGTAGTAAAAGCGTCAGTGAAATGTCACGGGTCGGCCATGCGTGTGGCACTCGGGCCGATGAGGTGCAGCTGCATCGCTGGGCCTGCGCCACACCAAGTGATGCAAGCACCTCCTGTGGTCTCTGCCGTGGCCACGCACGTCAGTGTTGCAGATGAGCGAAAGGGACTGTGTTCCCACGTCGTGTTCCTGACGGACACTGGAATTTGAACCTCGTGTAGTTTTCACATTTCACACACACAAAAATTTTAATATATAAACTATTCTTAGCTCACCTGCTATACAAAAACAGGCAGCAGGCTGGACGTGGCCCACAGGCTGTAGTTAGCTGCCCCCTGACCTGAAGGGGCGTGCAGGCTTCCTGGCGTGGCCAGCCCACGGGGCCTGGTGGCCCGGCCCGAGCCCCTCTGTGGCCCACTCCTCACCACCTGCTGCGTCTCAGCACAGTGGCCTCTTCCTGTTCCCGGGCTATGCCCAACTCGGCCCCCTTGCCGGCGCTCTTTCCTGTCCACAGCACAGATACACCCCCCCAGAGAGCCATCCCTGGAGCTGTTTCCGGTCTGGTCCTACAGTGGCCTGAGGTTCTGGTTCGTTCTGCAGTGGACTGCACCCGGAGTGTGAGCCCTGTGGGAGCAGAAGTGTGTCTGCCTCACCTGCCTCAGGTTGCAGCCCCGGCCCAGCCCAGCGCAGCTCATCGGCCGGATCCCCAGCTCTGAGGTGGACCTGGGCCATAGTGGCCTGTCCCTGTAGGAGGGCGGTGGGCCTCCGGTCCGTTCAGTCCGTTCCACGTTCCCAAGAAATACTCAGACTAGATGAAGGGGACGACTTTGTGGGCAGGAGCTGTGGATGAGAAACTGAAAGGACGGCACCCACATTCTGGAAAGTGAAAGAAAGGCGTGTTATGTTTGATGTATTGCGTTTCTAAATGGCTGCACTTCTGTTCATGTCTCCGTTTTATTTTGCTGTTTCAGTTCCTCACCGCCAGGAGGCCATCCTGAGAAGGGCTGTGAGATTCACCAGGACTGCGGTGCGGACGGCCGCCTTCTCCACTGCAGGTAGGGCCCCTGCCTCAGGCCTGGCCCTGCCTCCTGACCCGGGGATGCTTTTCCCGGCGGCTCTTCGGTGAGCTGAGGAGAGTCTGGCTCAGCAGGGAAGCAACCAGCTGGACATGCACAGCACGCAGGGCCTTGCCCCATCCAGTGGAACGTGAGGAGAGGTTGTCAGGGCCACCAGCGCCGGGGGGAAAGTGGCCCCAGGCTCGCATGGCAGCTGCCAGTCACTGCGCGGTTTGGGGAGCTGTTGAGTCCGTGGTACTGGCCCTGGCCCCTGGCAGACTCCTGGGGGGCTCTTCAGCATGTGGTCTCCCTGGGAGCTCCGGGCCACACATTGGAGTGTTTCCCCAGCCACGTGGGGAAGACTGGTGCCAGCCGAAGGGAAGGGATTGGGTTGGCCTTGCAGGGCGTTGGGGTTTCTGGATACGACCCTCAGGACCCTGGGCATAGCAGCCGTCAGTCCGGGCAGGGGCCATCCCTTGGTCAGCTCATGTGTCCAGGCTAGAGGAAGCACCTCCCCTGCAGCCGAGGGGGGCCGGGCCGGGTGCGAGGCTGCTGGTGGCCTGGGTGCCCCTAGCACAGGCCAGCAGTATTAATGTGTATTGTAGGGGGATCTGAAGGTGCGAGGGGCCTTGGGCAGTTTGCTCAGTTTAGAGATTGAGCTTGCACATGGTGACCGGGCTTGTTGATGTGGGGAGGGATCTGAGCCTGCGTGGGGCCAGTGGTGTGGTGGTGTCCACAGATGTGTTTTGTGGCCTCCCATGTTCTCCTTGGTAAAGGGGTGCGGTGGCTGACGGGCAGGGCCTCACCCCGGCTCCAGGTCAGGGCAGGTCCCCGGACGTGTTTCTTCCCGGGCAGTGAGTCCTGCTCTTGACTGCTGCGTGTCACGGCCCTGGGCTCTGCGGGATGCACGTGCCACCTGCTCTGTGGTGGCCTGGCACTGCCCTGGCCCTGCCATCCCGGTGCCACCTGGGCCGGGTGTGAGAGCAGCTCCCTCAGCCAGACGGAGCGGGAAGGACATGGAGACTGTTGAGGAGGGGGGCCGTGTGCCAGCGGCCGTGCAGCCCGGCGCAGGGCATGTCAGGGGCCTGCGGTTTGCGGGGTGGTCAGAGGACCACGTGGCTCCGGCTTTCTGACGTGGTCCCTTCTTGTTGCACGTGAGCTGCGCCCGCATCTCGGGCGGAGGCTTCCCTCCAGACCCACGCGGCAGCCGTCCCAGCCCCGCTTCCCTGCTGCGCTCTGCCGGTTCTGGGTGCTGCATGTGGAGCAGCGCTTCCCTGAGGAGGCGTCTCCTTCTTTGGAGAACGGGCGACCGCCCTGGGCTGAGCGGAGGCCCCGCCGGCCCGCTCCCGCACTTCCCCGGGCGTGGGAGGCCGCCTCTCCCCTCATGGGCTGGAAGCATTCTCGGAACAAGGGCGTGGGGCGGCGTCTGTCGCCTGGGTGTCTCCACCCCAGCAGAGCCAACAGGGGGTTAGGGGTCGAGAGAGAAGCATGGGACTCCTGGTCTGGAGAGCCATGAGGAGACGGAGGGAGGCTAGAGGGGGCGCGGTGGGGGGCCCTGAGAGGCTGCGGGGCTGCGAGGGGCCGGCCTGTGGGGCAGGAAATGAGGCCGCCTGCGCGGGGGCGGGTGGTTGAGGCCGGCGTCTGCTCTGTGACCCAGGCGGCCCTCGTTTCCCGGTAAGACAGGGAGCCCGTGATCCCGGGACCTGCCTTGGGGATGGAGTCAGAGGCTCCTGTGCGGGTGACCCACCCTCAGCCAGGGGTGCCGTCTGCCAGGCACCTTCCTTCCTGCTGTCCCGTTCCCGCCTCTGCCCTGACTCGATGGAAGCCCTCTGGGCCCCGGAGTAGACTGTGCCCTGGACTCCGCCAGACACGACACGCTCTCCCACACTCTTCATTCTGCAGCCACAGCCCCGCCACCCTCGCCCCCCCCCCCCCCCCCCCCCGCCAAAGTCTCCGTCTGCTCTTGTGACCACTGTCTTTCCAGCTTTCCCCAGAAGGTAGCCCCCCCCATCACCTTCCTGTGTGTTTCAGCATTTCTCCAAAGTTTCCTAATAGACTGCAATTTATATTGCCTCAAACTGATGACTTAAACCAATTAATAATCATAATTTTAAAAGACCAACAATCCTACATTTCCCTTCATTTCTTAGGGTACATTGACTATTTATGCATTTAACTTTACGGCGCGATTTTCCAGGCATTTCTTTAGTGAAGTGTCCCAAATTTCGGCCTTTCTCATCAGCAAAGCCACTGATTCCAAACTGTGTGTTTTGTGGAAACGACATAAATTTTAAAAAATCCTAGATCACCCCCCCCCCCCCCCCCCGCCCCGCAGAGGGGCGGGGTCCCTCCTGCCGAGGGGGTGAAAAGATGTGCAAAATAACGCTTCCCAGTTGCTGAGTGTTTCCTGTGTGCCAGTGCTGAGCTAAGGACTTTATCGTATGCGCATCTGCACATCGTGTTGTTTAATCCTTGTAGGAACTGATGAGGACACAGGGACAGAGCCGGGAGGTGATTTCCCACAGCCTGCAGCCAGGGAACAATGGCCTGGAGTGCAGCCACAGATCTCTCCGACTCCAGAGCTGGCTCTCTGGGTCTCCTGGCCCCGGGCACACTAACTGCTGCCCTCCGCCCTCCTCCGCTCTGCCTGCTTGGCCTGGGGGGCAGGCCGGGAGCAGCCTCCGGCAACCGGGAGTGGAGCCCTGCTGCAGTCTGATTTCTCTCTCCCCTGGGTAATGAGGTCAGGCTGCAGGGTTTGGTCCTGGTCATGCTGGAGCAGGCTGCCCGGGCCCGAGGCCTCTCACTGTCACCCTGATCGCACATGCTGACCCTGGTTCTCTAAGTCCTGCCTCACCCACGCCCAGTAATTAGGACTCATGGCCTTATCCAGAAAGCCCCAGCCTCAGTCAGAGGACAAAGGCGGAGGACCAGACTACACAGCTGGTTTCTTAAGACGCTTGGGATTTCTCCTTTCTGTGATGGTGGATTCACTTAACTGAGACCAGCCTGTACAACAAGAACAAAATAGACCAAATATTCCTGCAGGCATCCGAGGAGCCAGGATGTGTGGCCAAGGTCTGGCAGTCAGTGCAGCCCAGCACACGTGTCACCGCCTCAGGAGCCACAGAGGGGACCTGGGCAGCATTCCATGTTTCTACTGGGATTCCTGAAAGGCTACACGAAGGCATAGGGTGAGCCATAAGTAGACCAGTCTTCGAATAGACACCCGAATTCCAGTCAGCTCAGTCCCAGATGGGATTCAGGTGATCTGCCCTTATCCCAGCTGCCTGCTAAGAAACAAAAGTAAACCAGAGCCTCAAATTATCTCAACAGTTTTTCATACACAGTCACCAGAATTTCAGTGTAAAATTGCCAGAACTGATTAGAAACAAAAACAGATAGTAGAAACAGACCCACCGGAGATCTATATTTTGGAGTTATCAGACACTTACTTTAATAAATATAATTCATTTGTACACGATATTAAATGGCAGTTTTTCCAAATCAAATAATTTCATCAAGATAGATCACGTGGGCTTCCCTGGTGGTGCAGTGGTTGAGAGTCCGCCTGCCAATGCAGGGGACACGGGTTTGTGCCCCCGTCCGGGAGGATCCCACATGCCGTGGAGCAGCTGGGCCCGTGAGCCATGGCCACTGGGCCTGCGCGTCCGGAGCCTGTGCTCCGCAAAGGGAGAGGCCACAGCAGTGAGAGGCCCATGTACCGCCAAAAAAAAAAAAAAAGATCACATTCTAGGCCATAAAACACAGCTTAACAAATTAAAAGAAAAGAAATAATACAGTATCTGCTCTCAGAATTAAACTAGAAGTCAGTAACAGAAAGATAGCTGGAAAACCGCCAGATACTTGGAGGTTAAACAACACACTTCTGAATATCACATAGGTCAAAGAAGAAATCTCAAGAGAAATTTTAAACTATTTTGAACTGAATAAAAATGAAAACACAACTTAAAATTTGGGGGGTGTGATAAAGGCAGTACTTAGAGGGAAATTTATATCAGTGCATATATTAGAAAAGTGCATATATTAGAAAAGAAGAAAGATCTAAAATCAATCATCCAAGTTTTCATTCTCGGAAACTAGGAGAAGATGAGCAAATTAAGTACAAAGTAAGCAGAAGAAAAGATAGATACTAAAAATTAGAGCAGAAATCAATGAAATTGAAATAGGAAATTAATGGGAAAAAAATCAATGAAATGAAAACCTGGTTCTTTGAAATGATGAATAAAACCAATAAGCAGTAGCCAGTCTAAGAAAAAGAGAGAAAGGACACAAATTATTAATAATCAGGAGTGAGAGAAGTGATATCACTAAAGATTCCTTGGACATTAAAAAGAAAATACAGGGAATTCCCTGGTGGTCCAGTGGTTGGGACTCTGCGCCTTCACTGCTGAGGGCCCCAGGTTCGATCCTTGGTCAGGGAACTAGGATCCTGCAAGCTGCGTGGCCAAAAAAACAGAAATAAAAATAAAGAAAATATAGGGATGCTATGAACAACTCTGTGCACACAGACTTGATAACCTAGGTGAAATAAACCAATTCTTTAAAAGACACAGTCTGCCAAAACTCATATAACAAGAACTAGACAATCTGAATAGATTTAACATCTGTTAAAGGAGTTGAATCAATAATTAATAATCTTCCAAAACAGAAAGGACCAGGCCCAGATGGGTTCACTGGTGAGTTCTAGCAAACATTTATGGAAGAAATTATACCAGTTCTCTACAGTCTCTTTCAAAGGATAGAAGCAGAGGGAATACTTCCTAACTCATTCTATGAGGTCAATATTACCCTAATATCAAAATCAGAAAAACACATTACAAGAAAATTGCAGACCAGTCTCTCTCATGAGCATGGATATAAAAATCCTCAACAAAATATTGGCAAATCAAATCCACCACTGTATAGAAAGAATTACACACCATGACCAAGTGGGACTTATCCTAGGTATGCAAGGTTGGTTCAACATTTGAGAATCAGTA